TTTTTTTTCTGTATTTGATGCAATTCATTATTTCATAATTATTTCAATGTTTGAATCATTCGCGCGCAAAATCGAGTTCCGGTCCCCCAGCAATGTACATGGCGCATCCCTCCTATAGGATCCCTATGTATATATATATATATATATTTACTTACCTAACCTTTCCAAATGTAAATAGAAGAGAAAATTTACTTTCTTTAATTTCTCGTTTGATTTTTTAAAATTTTAATTATAAACAATAAAAATATATTGGTTAATGTATTTTCATTAAAATAATGTTATACGGAATAACGTAATACAATACATAGTTGCATCTCCACGTTGTTTATATGTACGTACGTACTACGAGCATACATACATACATATATGCATACACCAACATATATGCATACACACACATACAAATTGAAATGTTTATTTTATGACGTATTTTTGTTGGAAATAAATAACGTGACGAAAAAAGAGAGAAGACATTTAAAAAAAACTGAGACTTTATTGAGCAATACCTCATATTTATGTCCAAGGATTATATTTCTCGTAGGTACATTTTTGTTTCTTCAATTTTCTTCTCGTACGTATACTATTAGGTAATTATCGTTTATTACCCGTTATATTAACCAAAATTGCAATAAAATATTTTTTATATATAAAATATAAGTGAGAAGACTCTTCAGTTTACACATCATTTCTAGTTTGTTATAGACTATTTTCTACATTCGAGAATTTAATCAAATCTAAAGATTATTTATAAATTTCTATTTTACCAGACCCAAACAGCAAAAAACGTAAAACATTTTTTTTGTATAAAATAAAACAACCTTTAAATTTCCCCTGATTTAAAAATTCGTCCTATCTTTTATTTAATTTCATAACTAAACTATGACTAAACGATTGAAGATCGTTACGTTATATACTTACAGTTAAATCAAGAAATAATCAAATTAACATTAATAATATTATATATATACTATAAGCCTTAAATATATCACCGTCTCAAAAGTTCTTTTCTTTGACAATCTAATATACCAAATACATTATAAGTATTTATCAGATTGCATAATATTTTGAAACAAGCAGTTCATTACAATGCATTTTGATTCATTGTCAAAGTGGTACTAAGCTTATATCGGCAAGATGGCATAATATACATAGCAGCAGATATATTATTTGTGACTTGTATAAACCTCCTTCTTTTTGTTTGAACAAAATCAATAATCTGCTGCCTTAAATGGATTATACATATTATCACCTTAAAAAATAATCTGATGAAAATCTAACAGCTAAGTTCATTGACAGATCATTGTCGCGCATTATGTTCAGTTTCTAACAAACATTCACGTACTAGAATCCTTGCATGTTGTATACCCATTTTCAGACGTTCCGCGGCACTACGACTTCCTGCATACGAGAGGCGAATGTCTCTACCAAGTTCTTCAATAATAACCAGTAATTGGGCATATTTACCCTGGCCAGGCACAGACGGAAAGTTTATCGTACTAGATGGACTAGCCTGTGCTACTTGAACAGTTTGAACATTTTGCAAATTCCTTGGATTTGGCACAGTAATCACAGGTTCAGGAATTCTTGGAATTTCAGCAACTTTTGGTGGAGGTGGCGGAGGTGGTGGATCATTTAATTTTGTTATTGTTATTTCATTAAGTTTAGCTAACTCCGTTAATTTGGCCATTTCGGCTATCTTCGAGTACTCCGGTATTTTGGCTATATCGTTTTGTATATTAGCCATTTTCATCATTTCATTCATTTTAGTTTTTTCATTCATCTTTGCTATTTCTTTAGCCATTTCATTAATTTGTGCGATTTCATTGAGTTTTGTTAAGTCATTATTGTACTTAGCCATTTCTGACATTTTAACCATTTCGTTTAACTTGGCTATTTCGTTCATTCTTTGCGCTTCATTTATTTTTACCATTTGTGACATTTTAATCATTTCATTCATCTTGGCTATTTCATTTATCTTTGTAATATCATTGTACTTAGCCATTTCTGACAATTTAACCATTTCGTTCATTTTGGCTATTTCTTGCATTTTTACATACTCCGTTGCTTTGGCGTATTCCGCCATCTTCTCCATTTCGTATCTCTTAGCCATATCTTGTGACATTTTGTTTAATTCAGTCATTTTACTAAATTCAGCAAGTTGAGCCATCTGTACTATGTGTTCGGGAACTTTACCTCTTTCCATCATTTGCTTCAATTCAGCAGATATTTTATTCATATTCATTTCAGACATTTGAGCAATGGTCGCTGCATCTGGCATTTTAGAGAGTTCAGCAATCTTGGATATCTCTCTAGCTAGATTTTCATCAAGACAACGCTTCTTCTTAGCACGATGCCTGGCCATTCTCTGAGCTTCTTGCATTCTCCTTAACGCAGCTTGTTCTTCTGTTTCTTTAGCTCTGGCGTTCTTCATTCTTTCAGCTGATGTATATAATCTCAAAGCACGTTCCTCCGCTGTTTCAGACATTAGTTTTTGTCGTCTATACTCTCGCATTTCCCTTACCTTTTTAAGGTAAGATTTTTTCTTTGCTTTTGGCATAACACGCAATTATGCAAATAACAAACATCGTTATTAATATATTTTGTCATCTTTACAAAATTTAGAAGAACAATTTTTCAGAAAATATATATTAGACATATACGTCCACTCAATTACACAGTATAACTTCCTTTTTATTTATTGCTATATCCCAGATTGTTGTAAACACCTTTATGTCCAACAATAATATAGAACTGCAGTTATCTCCAAATATGACATTTATCCTGAAAACAAAAATTCACTTTGTTTTATCATCAAATACATTAAAACGTAATCGATATTATTATGTGAAATTAATTTATACAAATAAATATTATACATTAAATTACATTTATACAATATATTCGTAATATCGTTTAAAATTCAACTATCAATAGAATCGATAATCGCGTTTAAAAAATAACATCCTCGATATAAAAATCCTATCAAATAAGAGGACGCGCACATTAAGAACGCCAACGATCCTTTAAGAAAAGGGTAAGAGCGTGGTAGGATTCCTTCTTGCGTGTAGAAACGAAAAAAAAAAAAAAGAAACAAGAGAGAAAGAGAAAGAAAAAAATATATATAATAAGAAAGAAATAAAATACTAGCCCGGCGTTTTTAAATGTATAATTATAAAAATGCGTAAAACGAAATGCGCGGGCGCGCGCGAGCGCAAGCGACAGGTGTAAAATTAGGGTTGCAAGCACGTGCGTAAAAAAGCATCGGTAAATGAGATTTTCGAAATGCTCGGGCGGGCGCGCGCACGCCGCGACACCCGTTTATATGCCGTATTCGTGATCGTAGTCGGGTAGAATAGTAGTGTAGTAGTAGTATGGTGGCGTGCGTGCGTTATGTATATGTGTGTGTGTGTCGCGTCTCCGAAAATTCGAAAGAAGAGCGTCGTTGAGTCAAGCATAAAATGCGCATGCGCATTCAAGTTAAGAAACGCCGTCTTCTCTGGAATGTTCACAATCACAACAATGGCGGACGCAATTCGGTAAATCCACGTAAACGTAGGAAGAACCCACCGTTTGTTAATACCGGCACGCGCACGTGTCTCGTTTCACAATCGTACAATCCTCCAGACACACAGAATCTGTCAATATCGGCCAAATGAAAATCGATTTAAATTTTCTTAAGATATTCTGTAGACAAACGCACAAAAGGAAATATCGGTCTACATGTAAGATTTTCGTTCGGGGCCACTTTAAGGGGCCAAGCGGGGTCGCCGATAGGCTGCGTGTGACGTGGTTGCGTTTATTGACCATAACCCCTTCCTACCTCTCCGTCTGCAACTTCACGACGGACAGGTGTACGACCGAAGAGAGTAAGAGAGATAAAGGGAGACAGAGAGAGTTACAGACACAAGGAGAAGTGAGAAACATAGAAGGAGAGAAAGAGAGAGAGACCGGGAAACTATTGACCGGCCACCGGCCGCGTCTTAAAATGCACGAAGATGTTCGCCGGACGACCACTAGGAGGACGGCGCCTTTTCTCTTTTTCTATTCTTTTATTTTCCTCCCACTCCTCCTTCTTTCTTTTCTTCTTATCTTTTTTTCATTCTCTCTCTCTTTCTCTCTCTCTCTCTTTCTTTCTTATTCTCTCTTCTTCTTATTTCCTTTTCAACGAACGATCGACCCACGGGGAAGCCCCCCAACTCTGTTTCTTCCCTCCACTTACTTTGATTTTCTCCTTTGATATTTCCTGATCCCAGACGCTCTATCTTATCCCTCAAGAGTTCCAAGGTCGTTATTCTTCCTTTAAGAAACGACAAAGTTTTGACATTAAGACGCATAATTTTCGTATATCTATATTTAAGAATTTAAGTTATGATTATAATTCACAATAGAGTTTTTATTTCATTCGAAGAATATAATTTTTTATTTAAAATAATTATTTCGTAATTTTGTTTAGATTTTTGTTTAAAAGTTTTAACTAGATTTTAACACTTTGCCGCACACACTTTTAATTTAACCATCGTGCTCAAAAACACATTTTTTTTCAATTATTTATGACTATCATATGAAATTAAACGTCAGTTGTATATTTGAAAGTGAAAATTATCACATTTTGTCATTTGCCTATATATCATCAAAAATCGGACGATTATAACCGTCATTTTCTGCAACGTGTTAATATACGTAATAAGACTCGTTACATTTTATATATATTATGAGAATTCAGTTAATATTTATTTTATTTATAATATTTTCTTTTTATATAAAAATGATTTAATTCAAATTATAAATTTTTGATTAGAGCAGTATTATGATTTTTATTTGTATGCGTTTTTTATATATTTAAAATTTCCCGCTTTGAAACATCGTTGAAACGATCATAACAATGGCGGATATGTAGTGATAACATTTTTAGGAAATAAGGTTATGACTTGCGTATAGATTGTGATATAAAAGATTTTTTTATTGTATTACTTACTTCAAAAAAGAGTGCCAAGTAAATATACACGATATAAGAATAAATTGAATAAACTTAAATAATTATTAACAATAAAAAAATGATATTAAATATCGAACTATCGATACAATATGTTTGGCAATAGACAATCTTATTAAACTGGTATAGTTCGGCAAAAAAATACCAAGTAATTGGAGTTTATTGTAGATCAGAGAGAGATAGATTCTTCCATTTTACGTAGGTAGCGTTGCTTCAAGGTCATTTGTTCCCAAAATAACTTAGTACGACTAATCAAAGTAATGTAACTATAAATTTGTTTATATTTTTTATTATTCGATTTTACGAATTAAAGGTTAACTTCTTTTTAATTCTTTTATTTACGATATTTTGATTGATTCTTTTTTTTTATTTCTTAATTATTTTCAAATACATTTTTTAAATCTTTTTCTATTAAACTAATCAATTGTTTTCTTATGAATACGCATAATTGCATACAAATAATAAATTGTACGATTTGTTAAAAAATATAATAATTCATATTTATAATGTTTCTTTCTATAAAATAATATCACTTTTGTTCTTAATTAATTCTTTTTTTCTTACAATTAAATTTATAAATATATGGAATACAAACATTTTTTGTGCAATCTAAATAAAAAAAACTATACATATATATATATACAAGAAGATGTATGTTATATACAGGGTGTTTAAGATTTTTTGTATAAACATTGTGAGCGTATTTTACGATCAAAAATAAAAAAAACAATGCTATATAAACACAGATCATTTAATACTGTATTCAATGATTACATTAATTAATGAATACAATTTAAATAAATAATAAGAGCTATTCAAAATGTTGCTCGCCTTTGCAAATACAAATTTGACACCGCTGTAGATATTATTCATCACATAGCAAATTTTTTGTTTATTTCTGTTAATTTCTTCAATTAAATAACATTCTTTTCTTTATTTTTCTTATATAGAATTTACTCACAACGTTTGTACAAAAGAGCTTCAAAACACTCTGTATATATATACAGATATAAATATTTTTTTTGTCTTGTTTGTTTCAGATAGATTTATCATCTCAGTACAACAAAAAGAAAAATAAATTAAAATACTTTCCTACATTTGCACATGTAAATAAATTATGTATATTCCACAGCTCGAATATTATTTTCTTTTGTTATTAGTTATTATTCCAGTATATTTATTTTTTAAATTGTGGTCATGGCTCGGCTGGGAATTATTTGTTAACAATTAAATTTGACTTAACAAATATATCTGCATATATACATATATATACATATATATATATATATATATTGAGCATTTATATAGATTGTTTGTTATGTCATTTTGATAAAATTTATATTAATCTCATAAAAAGTATGTTTGTACTTTTTATAAACAAACAAAAATTATTACAATAAATTATTATCTTGAATACCCATTCGAGACTAATTTCGTTTGTATAACATAAAAAATTGTTTATCCATTATTTTCTAATTAAATTTTGTCATAAATTAAAAGTTCATCTAATCCCATTTTTCCTCTATGTTCCCATATTCTATATTTGGCAATATCTTTTCGAGTGATCATCCCAATTACCTGTAGTATTAATATAATTAATATTGTTATCTAGTTTCGATTAACCTCTTGCATTATTTATTTAATGCGCATAACTATGTGCTAAAGTCTGTGCTGTATTTTGTGCTTTTTATGTTTTGACTGTACAACGAATCACGAATCTCACACATTGTTATAATGCAAGAGATTAAGTTATGGCAATTAATGTACATGATGTATAATATTGCATACCTCATTCACGTCATTTAAAACAGGTAAATGGCGGAGTCCTAAAGCTCTAAACAGTCTAAAAATACGTGGCAATGAAGAAGACTGAAAAAGATCATTATTTTTATATAGAACATTATTTTATCTAAAATATTATTAAAAAAAAAAAAAATTAATATATATATATATATATATATATATACTAACATGTATGACTGCATATGGAGAAGGATTCATGAATGGTCTTAAATCAATTGTATATGTTTTTTCTTCTTCTGTTATTTGTACATCTTGGATAGCTGGATATCGTGGATAATCTTGACGAAAAAGTGTGATATTCATAGATGATTCCCATGTTTCTGAGTATTCATTAAATATTTTGTTTTGTAAAAGTGCTATTAATTGAGAACGTAAAACTAGTCCACGAAATCGACCATAAGTTTCTATATAGGGCTGACAACATTTAAAATAATATTAAAAGCATAATTATCTATCAAATAAGAATTATAGAATTATTTAAAAATATATTTATAAAAACAAAAAGATCGATAAATTCAATAATTACCTGATCACTACTTGGAGGATCTACCACAGGAAATCCATTGTACGTAACACATTTTAAAAGTTCTAAAATATGTCCGACATTTTCAACAGTTTTGAAAGTTGTTACAGGATGATTCATGATCTCACTAGCATATATATTATTTGACAATGGTGGTGCTTCCCAAGGTAGTAATGGTATCCCTGCCATTTGTATATGAATGTCATAAATGCCCTGTTGAATAATCATTATTAGATACTCGTATTTATATTTTGTTTTATTATGGTTTGAATCGTTCTTTGATCCTTTTAATTCATTTAGTTTCTTTATCTTTATTCATGTGACAATCTCGTCAATTTGATCTATGATTAACATCTAATATCATATACTAATATTTTTCTACTAATATGCTTTGTTATGATTACCTATTATAAAAATATATTTATTTTTTTACTCCTTTGAGATTTTCCTTTGTAAAAAAAATGGGTAGAAAAGTCCTTATATAGGAAAAATGTAGCAATATAGTTAAGTAAATTTACATTAACAGTCAACATCACACACACACAACTACGCAGTCAATGGGGCTGAAAATTTGATGTTTGCAAGAGGATATAAGAATGGGAGGGTAAAGAGAATTGACCTTTAGAGTCTCTGATTGAATTCATAATATTTGGCTTAGTAGTAACGTTGGAATTTTAAATAAATCAATATAATTTATTGTAGTATTTCTTAATAGTAGACTATTTTGGATTAGAGTTAATAAATATATGCCAAAATTTAGAAAATATTGACAATGTTGAGCATTGTGCTTATTAGGTTATTTTCCAATACTCTACAATTATTAAATTTAATTAAATTTAAAATGATTTACCTCGTTAAAGAAATCACCGACCCATTTTGCCAAAATAAGAACTATTATCACGGGCAAACCAAAAGATATCCCTTGAGTTGCTTCAATTAAAATTGCAGTTAAACTGATTGTCATTCTAACGGTTCCACCTAATTGTGCAGCAGCACCTAGCAAAGCATATTTTCCAGGATCTAATAACACCTATTGTAGATATAATAAATAAAGATAAATGTTATAGAATCACAGTACGTACTCCAAAGTTTATTGAAATACTTACGGAATTTGGAAATATTTTGGCTAATGCTGATCCAATAAGTCTACCCCAGGCAGAACCAATTAAAAGTGATGGAATAAAAAGTCCACTGGACATAGATAATCCAAATGTAAAAACAGCTAGGATAAAATAAAGAATAATAAAAACAGCCAAGGTAATATCGTTATGGGAGCCTATGGAAAAAGAAAGAATATAAATATTCTAGCATTTCAAAAGTTAATTATAAAATATGTTATATATTGTTATGATGTACCTTTAGGGTCATGAAATAAAGATCTTACACTACTTTCTGGTGTTTGAAACCATAATGCAGCAACTGCACTGTATTCTCCTTCCTTACAATACATCTGAATAGGAAACTTTGTAGGATCTTGTCCAATGGGTTTACAATCATCCAAAAAATATATCATCAAAAATCCCATCGTTGCGCTCATTATTGCTACTGCAAGAGCTTCTATTACTTTTAACCATTTTTGTGTTATATATTTTAACCGAAAACATGTAATTTTGTAATTAATATGATTCCACAAAGCACCGAGAACACCACCAATTATTCCAACTACCACGAATAATGGAATTTCATAAATTTGGTACGGTATGGATTCAAATTTTCCTAGATTTAATAAACCTGGATAAGAAAGATCACCAGGATGTCCATGGTAAGTACTAAGAATAATGTTCAGCGTGAAAGTGGTTATCATGCTAGCAAAAAATGTTCTCCATGTTAGACTTTGATTAAAGAAGCTAGTACCTTCTTCGATACTAAACAAAACTCCACCTAAAATATTGATTCATAAATAAAAATGTATACTGGTATTTGTTAACATGCAGATATATTATTTTAGAAAATATTTTAAACCTATTGGTGCACCAAAAGCAGCCGATACACCACTGGCTGCTCCACCAGATACAAAATCTCTTTTTTCGTGATCTTCTCTGAAATATTTGAAGATTCCTAAATCTTTTTTAAATGTTGTACTTTTCCCTTGAGATATTCCAGCAGCAACTATCGCTCCTGAGTGTATCATTGGCCCTTCCTTTTTTATTAATATAAAATAAACAATGTAATGATAAATTTTAATTTATAATTAAAATAAATTGCCAAAAGAATTCATCGATATTACTTTTCCTCCAGCTAATCCACCAACTACGGTGCAAATGACACCAATCGTTTTAACTGCTAATGTTTTAATTCGTACTACTCGAGGCACTTTAATCCCATTTAAATAACATTTAACTTGTGGAATGCCACTACCAGCTGCAACAGGTTCAACGTAGGACACTAAAACAGCGCCTATCAATACTGGTATTAAATTAGATGTTAACCATAATAAATATGGTAGCCATAAGCAATTATTAACTACACAATGATCAACATCTGTTATTATACGTTAAGGAAAATTTATCTTTTGTATTGGTACAGATTATAAAAAAAAAAAACATATAAAAATTTGAATAATTAAGGATACAAGTTTTTAAATATCCATATTTTATATTTGATAATTGTTCTATTGAAATATCTACAAAACATGCTATAAAGGCAGTACAAATTCCAATTAACAAAAAGATGAACCATCTTGCAAAATTCTTTTTAACGACAAATTTGTAACCCTTCTTCCTTTCCTCGTCCTGAAGAAGGTAGTTTTCACAAGGATCATAATCCAAACTCTAGATTAAAAAAAAAAAAGATTAACATTAATTATTACTTAAAACTATATATATATATATATATAATAATAATAAATTTTGTAGAGATACAAAAAAAAAATTACTTCATAATTAGTTGAAAGAAAATTAGTAGCTCCTGGTTTTATATCTCCAGTATAAATCTTTCTTGTTTGTCGATTAATAAGACTTTCCATAAGATTGGACGAAGGAATAACATTGTGTAGGATATTCTGTTAAACAAAAAAAGAACCAAATTTTTAATAATATAACAAGCATATTCCAATAATTAAATAATTACTCTACCGAATAATTTTGTTAATTTCATAAATATAATATTTTCCCAAAACAATTAAAAGATAACGATGAATAAAAAGATATATAAAAATGCAGAAAACAATTAAGCATAAAAAAAATTTATCATTATGTTCAAAAATTGTGATCAAAAAAAAGAAAAGATAAATTATAAAAATTTATCTCTTTCAAGACTACCGTAAACGTTATTTGTAAACAAATTTAAAAAAAGGATTAACATTGAATACGAGATAAGATTAAGATAATCATTATCAAAAATAAAAAGAATACAATTTGATTCAAAACAAATGAAAAAAATTAATATCATTGAAATAAATATAAAAAAAAACCACTTATTTCTTTGTATGTAAAATAAATTTGATCTTACTCGAAATCTAACACTAATATCTCGTTTTGAGTATGAAGGAAAATTATTTCGTGGTTTTAATAATCTTTCCTCGTTATCGTCACTATGACAGATATCAATTTGATCCACATCACTTATGCTGTCGTTTATTCCAATATTAATATCAGTTATTGTTGTTGTTGAACTGTCCGTCATTTTATATCGTATATAATTAATGATCTTTTTTTACATTTCCACTTCACTTGCTGCTATTGAGCTAATATCACAATTTTCATGACTTTATATTTGTTCTTTATAAAAAAAAAAAGGTTACACGTTTAATAATTATTAAGAGAAAAATAACCTCACAATGAGTACAATATTAAAGACACAGTTTCAAACGATATACTGACTGGTTTTTAACCATGAGTAATAGAGATAATGCTTTATTCATACTACACATGTATAGGCCACGTGATTCTACGTATACATTGAATCATCTGTTTTACGCTAACACGGAAGTATAACCTCACTTTCTTATCGTTAGAATACGAATGAGAACGAGAGAGAAAAAGAGAGATAAAATACGCATGCGTCACAACTAAATTATTGTGGAAGGGATAGTAATTATTGTACATTGGAAAGGGAAAGAAAAGGGGGAAGTACGATTCTTTTATATTTATATTTACATTTACTTCAAGTGAATTAGAAGATAGACGGCCATTAATCTGCATTCGCCCTACATCGTCTTTTTGATAGCCATTTTTTTAATGGAAGCCATCTTGTTTTATTTTATTTTATCGCGTAATTAATATTTATATATTTATTTTTAATTTTTCAAATATATAGTTTATATTTATATATACGTATACATATGAGTGTAATTTGTCTGTATGTACATCATTTATTTGTATGTATTTTTTTGATTATTTATATAGGTCAAATCATTTTTATAAGAATTGAATACTTGATAATATAAGAGTTGATAATTTTTATATCTTTTCCTTATACATTTTTTCTCTTATTCATGACTAAAACGTATCATTGCTACGTTATTATATATATATATATATATATATATATATGGATGTGTATATGTATGTATATTTATGAGTCGGCTACAATCAATGTTTTAATAGTATTAAAAGAAATATTTACAACTTTCAATGTAGCCTATTTTTCAGTGAAATACCGAAGAATGATTAAAATTCTTCCGATATTATGTTATATAATAAATACGATAAATTGTACGTTTATGTTTAGAATGAAAAGAGTTTAAACTTTTATTTTTTACAGTTACATTTCTTGTAAAAATCTAATTTTTATACATATTTATTAAAATACAAATGATATATGAAACTTGTAGTTTAATTTATACTAGTTTAACTATACATTATGCTAATTATATAATTATATTTAACACTAGATATACCAGAACAGTCATTTTGACTAGTCGAACCATTTTTCGAACCAAAATTTCTATTTCATGTAACATTTGAGTTCTGTAAATAATTAAGCGTTTTGTTATTTAAAAATGTCTATAAATCCATTTATCTATTAAAACTATTATTGTTAAATATTTATTTTTTAAGAGTAAATAAAGACTGAAAGCTACAAAAAGCATTTTTTTTTATATACCAGTCATTTTGACTAGTGTGGTAGAAATATACTGAAAATCGTGGTATATCTAGTGTTAACATACAAAGTATAAATAATAATTAATTGTGTAATAAAATTAAATTTTTTTTCAAATATATAAATCACACGTGAGATGTAACTTCGAAGTTACACGTTTTAATAGAAAAATATTAAAAAAAATAAAAGTCAAGCTTTGTTCGATTTTTTGGAATTTCAAATTTTTTGTGACGTTGCATTTCGTATTTCGCAATAAAGGGTAAAAAGAGTATGAAGACTTTCGAGTCTGTAACCATCATGTGAAGGAATGTCGAGTAGATGGCAGACAATATCAACGAGACGGGATAATTCGCAATCGAGTGTGGTAAAATCGAGTGGCGCCTCATTCAATTGATCTTCAACATCCGGCGGCCATTGTTGCATTAATGTATCGATATCAGGCATTGCTTTAGTTAACTGTACAGCAGGCGGATGTTTACTTCGATGAAGTTGATTCATATCTTCGATCCATTTCTCTATAGCCTTAACATTTTTTTCCGCATCTTCGACTCTTTTTATCACTGCTTGCCTAGGTGCACTAGCACTTTTGCAATGGGTTCTTAATTGTAAATGTAATACAGCTGGGTCGGATTGTTCCGTGCATGGTTCGTCTAATACAGCCAGACCTATTTTATCCTCAACACCGTCTGGTCTAGGGATTTTTATGAAGGCATCTATATCACCGACTGCTGGTATATAATCGGGAATAAATGGCACCAATTTATAATTCAATTCTATCTTTTGTGGCGTATACCTAATCGTGTTTAGAAAAGAAAAATGTTTTTAATTCTTATTTTACTATTAGAAAAAATATCTTTTTTTTTTATAGTTTAAAGAATAAATTCTAACCTAGAAATATTCTGAAAGAGTTCCTTCAATTCGGTTGATACGTTGAGATCTTCGAATTCCTTTGGATCATACATTTCCATTTGTTTGGAAATACTTGATCCTTGGATATCATCATCATCTGTTTCTTCACTATCTGATGGATCGCTACCGATCACTAATGATTTACTAAATCTCTCTTGATCAGGGTACCTTTAATTAAAATCAGATTTTGATAATTATATATTTTAAATATTGAATTTTTCAAGTATTATAAGTTAGGTGTTACCTTCGAAATTCGCGCCTTTCTCGGGGTGAGTTAACCTCCAAAATATCAGGAACGTCATTCGTAAAATTTCTTCGACCTCTTCTTGAACTCGGTGGCCTTGGATAATTAACTGGACTTTTAATTTCTTCTGCATTACGAACTTCGATGCTTTCGTCAAATTTACTGAAGGGCGAGATATCTCGCGTTTCTTCGTCCTCTTCTTCGCTACTGTCCTTGACGTCCATTGTTTTTTGATAACGATTGTTAAAGAGTAGAAATTACTTTAATTGTCATTAATAATTATATTATTACTTATAATTATCATAATTTAAACACTACTATTATAAAAACTTTGACGAAACACTATACTCATGTATTGTCGAATGAATAAAAGGCTTTCTATTTGTTTCGTATTCCGTTGCCATGGTTTTTACATGTGATCGATTATGACTCACTTAATGATAATATTTTATCTACTGAATATTTACTTTTAAAATCATTGAATAATTTATCTTTTATTTTCATAATATTAACACTATCAATATTATTATAGGGTATAAATTAAATAGATATCTATCTATCTAAAATCTGTTTGAACAATTGCAAAAAAATTATTAATAAAAAAGCTGAAAAATGAAAAAATTCTTCTCTTTTTTTTTTTTTAAATAAAAAAAAAGAATATTTTTACTAAACTTTTAATAAATAAAATGACTAATAAAAAATTTTGTACCTATAGCAGCAATTTTGAATAACATTTATGAGTTGTTTTTTAACAAAAAGGCCTGATATCTCAGTAAAGTAGATATCACATATAAAAAAGGAATGCATAAAATTAAAAAAAAAAAATCGTGTAATCTTACTTTCAGTCTCAGCTCTAACCAATTTTATGGCTTTTCAGATACAGTCTATACACACTTGTTTTAAAATTCATGACGCATCTGGAATTCCCTTTCGCATATATACTCAGACATATTATATTTAGTAAATATAGATACAAGTTTAAATGTACCACTCGTATTTGGTTTTTTTTGCTCTCTCTCTCTCTCTATCTTTCTTTCCTACTCTCTCTAAATATAATCCACAAATATTATAATGATTTGCGCATTTATGATTAAAAAGTTGTAGCTTATTATCTGCCTTCAATGTTACGTCTCGCGTATCATGTTATTTGACGAATAACATATTATTGACGTATGACTTGCAATATTTGATTTACAGAGAGAGAGAGAGAGAGACAGGTATGATATACTTTATTTATTTACGTAATTTTCTATTTTTAGAATAAATTAATATAAAGCAAAGATACTTTATTGTATTTTATAGATAAACATTATCTTCGCATCAATTTTTTTTGTTTATTTATTTGATTATTTATGGATTATTTTCTTGTATAAAAGGACAACCGGAAACTGCAGAAACAGGTATCCTAATATCAAAAGAGAGATAGGAAGTTATATATTTCAAATAATTTATGAAACGCAAACAATACCAAAATTACGTATTATAGAATTTTTTTTTTCTTTTTTTTTGTTTGTTTCAAATTAAAAATCGAATAAATAATTTATATAAATAATGTTTCTTTTTTTATGTCGGTTTTAGTCTTGAAACATTTTTAATAATGGCGTATTTGAAGTATGATCAAATGTACTTTCGTACTTCCTGTAAACAGCCATAGGAAAGAAAAAAAAACAAAAAAAAAGATTTGGAAGTTTCAGTTCATAGTTATTCAGTCAACCAAGCGTAAATAAATCAGGAAAGATCAAGTGCAACTGATAAAACTGTATTCCGGTTTGACGAAATAAACTGACATATTATTTATATACACATACATATACATACATTTAAATAGATAAAACAAACGTATATATATTAAAACTGTCAGTTACGGTAAATAAAATTCTTCTATACCCCCACGTGTGTTGGTTACACGATTATTCTCATTTTATCGTTAAGAATTGTTTACTTATGGTATTTCTCATAAAATTTGCTCGTGGCTTTTTTTTGCAGACTAAAAAAAAATCATTTAACAGTTAATTCATCAATGTAATAAAACCGATAAGACTTGCATGGGTTTATATCAAATAAGAATCTATTAGGACCAAATGTTACGTAATTGTGTTATCTTGTTTATTATCAACCTTAAGATAATGCATATATTATATGATTGTGTGCATTCTGAAAAAAAAAAAATAGAAAAAAAATATTTTCGTTATTGTGTTTAAAAGAAATTGTTTCAGGTAATAAATCCATTATCTAAATTAATATTTGTCTTATAAGTAAACTTTAATTGTCTTAATAATTACGTCTGTATATTTTCACCTTATAATAAATTGTTGAAAGATCGATGATTCATTGATAATAATCTTTGAAATTGAATACTTCTTTTTTTATGTATAAATGTATATATGTATTTGTGAATGTTTTATGTGTAGGTTAAATAATTAATGGACATAATTTCACAATGTACACACATACATATATACATATAAATGTATAATGTATTAAATATACAAATATATATATATATATGTTTTTATATGCACATATATGTTAGATTCATGTGAATACGGTTTTGTTTCATGAGCTATAGATTAAACTAGTTCCAGTCAGATATGGCCGGTTCACTGGTTTACTTTCACCCGCGTAAATACTCTCTCATCCCTTCAATGTGTCTCTTCGAGGTCGATCATGCCACTTGATCATCGTCATTTTGACTACGAATAAACTGCAACATGTTTTATGCTGTCATTGAAGTCACTCTTACGGAGATATTGTCTTTTACT